GGACAGCTATAGGGTTGATGATGTGCTCGACAGCGTGGATTTTGCCGTCTTCCATCATCTTGGCCGGCGGTGCAGCCTGAAACATGGAGTACTGGGCACCGATGGCAGGGATGGCCACTAGGAGAGACCAGACACAGCAGGTGCGTTGGGAGAGGGTTTCCAGGACCTCATCTCAAAAAGCCCTCCCTCCTGGCTGCGCCGGCTCTCCCTGTGCAGCAGTCCTGTGCTGGTCTCATCAGGGCAGGTAGCCCTGTGTGCAAGAGTGGGATCTGGGGTGCCTTTGCCCTCCCCATGGGTGGTAGTGCTGTGGCTGATGCGCTCGGTGCTGCCTGCTCTGCCCAGCATTTCCCCCCATGCTCCTGGCATGGATGTCCCAAGGCCAGAGCCCTGCTGGGGACTGGGAGCTGCAACCCAGATTTACACAGCCCCTTCTGATCACTGCTGGCCTTCCCCCTGGCCAAGAGTGTGGCCTGAGCACAGGGACAGGTAGGAATGCATACTGTCCCGGTGGCATCCCTGCTCCAGGTGTTGAGATCAAGGGACGTGTAGCTGCCATAGGCAGAGCTGCTCAGGGAAAGAAAAGTGTGGTTTGTACTGCAGAAGTTACAGGCAGCAACTGGTCCAGTCTACATGCCGTCCTTTCGGCAACCCTGCGAAGTATCAGCTCATTTACTATTATGCATTTCCCAGGCCTAACTTGGCTAAATATGGTTTATCCCACCTTTCTGCTGCAGCATCAGTCTGTTTAATGACACTAAAAAAAAGAAATTGCTCTTTAGAGAATTCTCCCTCATTCCAAAACTGGACAATGCAAAATAATTAGAGCTATGGTCTTCCAAATGAAGGGAAAATGCTCCAGTCAGAATGACGGTGTTCGGAGATGGTGAGTTTGTACATGGTCCAAAATGGAGCTTCACGGCACTGCTTAGAGAAGAAATGTGCTTTGCTGAACATTCCCAATAATCACAGTAATTGGACATAAGCTGGCAATGTGGATTTGCAGCCCAGAAAGCCAGTCATACTCTGGGCTGCATCAAAAGAAGCGTGGCCAGCAGGTCAAGGGAGGTGACTCTCCCCCTCTGCTCCACTCCTGTGAGACCCCACCTGGAGTACTGCATGCAGCTCTGGAGTCCGCAGCACATGAGAGATGCGGACCTGTTAGAGGGGGTCCAGAGGAGGGCCATTTAAATGATCAGAGGGCTGGAGCACCTCTCCTGTGAAGAAGGGCTGAGAGAGTTGGTGGTGTTCAGCCTGGACAAGAGAAGGCTCCAGGGAGACCTTATTGTGGCCTTTGAATACTTAAAGGGGGCTTATTAGAAAGATGAGGACAGACTTTTTACCGAGGCCTCTAGTGACAGGTCAAGGGGCAACTGTTTAAGGGTAGATTTAGATTGGATGTAAGGAAGAAATTCTTTACTGTGAGGGTGTGGAGACACTGGAACAGGTTGCCCAGAGAAGTTGTGGATGCCCCATCATTGGACATGTTTAAGGTCAGATTGGATGGGCTTTGAGCAACCTGATCTAGTGAAAGATGTCCCTGCCCACGGTTGGACTAGTTGGTCTTTAAAGGTCCCTTCTACCACAAACCATTCCATGATTCTGTGATACTATGATTTCCATCGTTGCCTTATCGTGCATACTGCAGCATTCAGCTCTTGAGCCTTTCAGCAGTGATGTTATTCACAAGGAAAACAGAGTAATCAATAAATGATGGTGATGTTGGAATCTATGGGAGGTGCAGCCAGTAAATCCGAAGTGAAGCCAAATATGCACATGGATTTCTCTCACTGAGATGAAACTTTGCAATGTGGAAGTGTGCAGCTCTGCCTGTGGAGAGGATAGGAGCCAGCAAGCAGTACTGCCATTTTGATCCTGGAGACTGCAACAACGGATCTGATCAGATATAATTCAGGCATAGATGTTTGCACAGCCAGTGGTCTACCACTGTTTCCTCAAGCAGAGACCTCCACTCATGAGCTTTTCCAGTTCTCCTTCTACACCAAGACCACCTGGTCAGCTCAAACCAGTTTTATCACTGGTTTAAATAACCTGGACAATTTCTCACTGATGCAAAGGCAGAGAGCTCACATGTTCCATTCTGCAGTAACTTCTGGCAGAAAAGCAGTAACAGGCAGCTGGGGTATTGGGGTGACCTCTCAGAAGTTTTCTAACCATTTGAAAAGAAATGAGCTTTAAGGTTGTTCTAAATGGTAGGAAACTTTGCAGAGTCAGTGGATCTCTACTGCTCCATTCTGGTAATGTGTTTTCAGTCATACACTTTTAATAACAGAGGTAAGTCTTGCATGTGGTACCTCTTACTAGATCATCTGGTCTTGTTGGAGAAAATGGACCAGATGCTCAGAGGCTGTGCTGGAACCATACAAGAGGGGAAGACCTGATAAAGAAATCTGAATCTCAACATGCTTCAAGTGTAGAAACATTTAGACTTGAGCTTCAGGCTTTTGCTTGGCAAATGAATTACAGACACCACTAACAGGCGTGCATTTCAAAGCCCACTTTTCCAGCATCCTTTAGTAATACTTGGAATTCCTGAAGTATCTTTACAAACACACATAGTGGTAATATTTTCCGATTGTGAGTGGATAGTTTTCTCAGGAAGTCTGATCTTCCTTTGGAAATGGCTCTGATCTTAACAGCCTTCCTTTGTCTCTAGACCTCTTCCCATATTGTCTCATCCAGCTGTTATGAAGAACTCTTCACAGCCTTCATTAGATGCAAGCTGTAGTTTCCAATGACAGTATGGAGCATGTTTTGGGAAACCACTGCAGCTCTATTATTAAACACCGCTTAGGTCCTGCAGTTGCAATTTGCTTGGAGAGAGGAATGGGGAGAAGACCTGAGGACTTCTGCAAGAGGGCTTGGCCCCATCACCTGCAAAGACCTTCTTCCTCAGGCTGCTTTTCCAAATAAAAACCTCTCCAAACAGGATCTTGAGGGATTGCAGGGCTTCAGCCTTCATCCTGTTCACCTGGGAAGGGCAAGGGCTGGATACTCAGCTGAGGATGTGGCAGGAAGGGGTGATCCCTGCCCCGGCCCTTGGGCTGGCTCCCTGCAGCCCAGCACTGCTGAGAGCTCTCCTGCAGGTCGCTGCGTGGCTGCGAGCCGGACCCCAAGGGCTCCCCGCATCACTCCTTCCCCATGCTGCTGGTGGTGATGGAGGAACTCACCTCAGCCGGAGACTTCCCCGCGATGGGAAAGCCCCAGGTCCTTTTTCCAGCCTCATAGCACCAGAGAAATATGAACTGAGCAGGGCAGAGCTCTGAACTGGCTGGAAATCTGGGGTGGGAATTGCCCAGGGTGAAATTAGGAGTGAAGAAATTCAAAGAGAGGAAGATTGCTCTTAGTCACCATGCTCTAGCGTACATGACTAGATGGAGAGGAAAGTCTGCTTCCTCCCGAGGAGGTGCAAAAGGGGACAGGAAGGGTGGGCACAGCTTCAGCCCTTTTTCCGTTGGTCTGAAGAGCTCCCAGACATTTGTGTCCCCTGCCCCGCTGCGTGCTTGTTGTTTGCAGAAAGCCTGGCCAGGGCCAGGAGGCATCTGGCACAGGGGAGCACTACGCCCCGGCCCGGGGGCTGTCTCCACTGCCGCAGCCATGGGCTGGAGGGGTGGGTGCCCAGGTGCCTGACACGGGGCTCAGAGCAGGGGCTCACCCACTACCTCTGCTTTCGTCCCTTTGTTCCACATACTAACCTGCACCGGGCTTAATGGCCACCGGATTGACCGCAGGTAACTCCAAGTTGGGTACCAGCTCGTATCCTTTCTCCTGCTGTTTTCCTTTGCCTTCGTGGTACCTGCTGTAGATGCCACGGCCGGCGGAGTATCCCCCCAGGTAGGAGCCCCTGGGGCCTGGGGCTCTGTTGCCAGCTGCACCTCGCCCTCTGCCTCGTATGCTGCCTGCTTATGATAACAATTTGAAAGACGATGGTGAATAACAGAGAGTGACAGCCCCATGGGAAGCACGAACAGCCCCAGGCTGAGACGGGGGGGCACGTGCTTAGAAACAAGGCTGCTGAAGTTAGTTGGATCTGAGTCTTAGTGACTTCGCTTATGAAAACAGAAGAGTTTGGCCTCAGAAGCACCCATTAAGACTACACAAGTTTTGCTCTTGATGTTTCTGACCGTACATTAACTGCTTATTTATACTGATGCAACTCTGGTGGCCAGTGTTACGGGTATAAAGCACCCAGCAGAGAGAGAGGGGCTGCTCCAGGGGTGATTCCTATGCAGTGGGAACAGCTTCTGCTCTCAGCTGTCCTCCAGAGGACATGCGATGCACCCCTGCAGAGATGGCCTGAAGCTGTACCTGGCCTTTAACCAAATTTATCCCACCATGCCTTTATTTGTCTTAGTGACTCCATGCACGTTATGACAATACTTTGGACACTGTGGTATTAATGCACTCTATGATGGCCTAATTGAATATTTAGATTGTGAGTTAACTCCTTTGTAGTTCGTTGCAAGTACAAATCTGGAAATTGAGAAGCAACTGAAATTCTTGATCAACTACGGTTAAAAATATTTCTTGGTTTACGTGAGTGCTTTAAGAATATATTTATGCTAAACTGCCTGTTATATGGAAATACACATGAAATTTCAGGAAACTGTAATTCCTGTAAGTACAGGATAATTGTAATTATAACACCAGTTATAGCTGCTACAATTTCTGAATAACTGATTTTTGGTTAATTTTTAATGACTGTAACTGGTAACTAATTAAAGTATACATAATAAAAGAATTATTTTGCACTCACATGATTCCTTCTGCTCGTAGTTCTCAGATGCCTTTATAAAGGACACAGCACTACGGTCATTTTAATGCAGAGGGCAAATGACACCTGCAGAGCTCCTGACTGAGGCTTTGCCTGACATCCCTACCTTTGGATGACTAGGTCACTCTACCTACACCTCCAGGAGAAGGCAAAGGGAGCATGCTGCCACGATCGCTAATACTTAGGATCCAGCTCTTTGGAAGGAGGCATCAGAAGCTGGAGTCCTCGGACTTGCTCAGACTTAGTGCAGCACTCATAAAAACCACATCCCCCTCTTTCCCATGCTGTGCTTGGTCCATTAGCTCATTCTTAACCATAGTTTTGATGCCTCCCTCATACTAGCTTGTACATTAGCAATTATTTATAGATAAATACACTCTGTGTAGTCATAAATTAAAATGAGGCTGAACAGAAATATGGCAAAAACACCTATAAAACAGTGTTTAAGAAAAAAGTGTGAAGCACCAGCTGTCCTTTGGCTCAGGCAGACCTTGGGTTGCACCAGCCTGAGACCAAACCTGCCCATTACATCCCCTAATTGTGCTTACTAACCTTTCACAAAGTAATCTCTGTTGGGCCCGATCAAGGCATTGTACGGATATCCATAATACGCTAGTGTGTACGGATCACAAGAGTAAACATAATTAGGTTGCTGAGTTACTTCGGGCGTTGCTGTGGCCCCTCCTTTTGCTGCTTTCTGGTAGCGAGTGTACTGCTCCTTGTCTACTGGCTTGGCCAAGGTAACCTCCAGGCATGAGCCTTCCAGTTCAACACCATTAAGGTTGTTCATGGCGTGAATGGCATCTTCCCTGGTTGTAAAGTGCACAAAGGCATAATCACGTATTTTTTTCACCCGCTCTACACAGCCAGGGTTAAACTGCCCAAAGACCTTTTTAATGGTGTCCTCTGTGGTCTCAATCATTAGATTCCTCACATAGAGGATTTTAACAGTCTCCATGACATCTTCATCCACATCTATCTCTGGTTCTGCCCAGTCAACAGCAATTTGGTGTCCCCACAGCTGGATCCTTCCCGGCATGAGTTTCCTCCTGGCCATTGCCGCTGCTCGATGGCTCTCATACTCCACGAAAGCGAAGCCTCTGTTCTTCATCTTGTCTGCAGCGCTGGCATACACGATGACATCCAGCACACCTTCTGTCACCTTGGCAATCTCTTCCAGGATCTCTTCTCTCTTCTTCATCTTGGGAATACCTCCGATGAAAAGCCGGCAGTTATCAACACTGCAGCACACACCCAGCAGCCTGCCGGGCCGGATTTCATAGTTGTTCAGCTCCCTGACGGCACGCTTTGCCTCGTGCTTCTGTGTGTACATCACGAAGGCATAGCCACGGTTCTTCCCATCAAAGTCCATCATCAGGCGCATTTCATAGATGCGGCCGATGGACTCGAACACAGGGACGAGCTCATCTTCATAGACGTCGCGGGGGATTTTGCCCACAAAGACTTCGCAGCCACGAGGAGGGTGCAGACCCTCCCAGCCTGGAGGAGGGCCACCGTACTTGCGTTGCCCGTTCTCCTGGATCATGCTATATCCAGTGCGCTCCATGAGGGCCAGCAAAGCCGCCTCATTGGGTGCACCGGCAACTCCTTCAGGGACTTTCGTGGTAGCCACATTGGAGGAATCGTTGCTCATCCTTGCAGTGGAGTCCTCAGCAGTCATGGTGTCAAACTCATTCACAGCTTGATAAAACCTAGGTGAAGGAAGGAGAAGGACCCTTGTTAGAAGCTGTTAGCTACCACCAGAGTCCCACCCCTCTCTTTTGTTTTCGTGCAGTTGTTCTGCAAGTTCATTTTCAAACTGGGACTAAGGCTGCAGAAAAGCAGATGAACGAGCCACACCAGCCCGAGCATTTATATTGCAGGGGAAGTGCATCCTGGATGTAGGCATAGGCCCTCTTTGAGGGGGGGTGATGATCACCTGCCCATAACACCCCAGCACCAAGAGCTGCTGCCACATGAGGCTGAAGTGGCATGAAGGGATGCCACCAAGCACCTCAAAACCTCAAGACCCTAGGGAGGCCTGTCTCCTCTTTGGAGGGGTAGGAAGGAGCTGGCATGGGATTGGGAAAGGGAAGATACTGCTATGGACCCACCTCCAGAGCCCTCTCCTCCCTCTCAGTCATTACTTAGTTAATCCATCTACTCCTGAACAGCACAAGTGCTCTATGCCATACTTCACAGTGAAAGACAGAGAACGCGTGAGAAGTGCCAGGCATGGTTCCCATTTGATAACAACCCGTTGCTCCTTTAGGCCTTCACAACAACAGTTGAGTAGGAAATAATAAATATGCTTTAGCATTGGGGACCAGTTCTTGTTCTCCCATGCAAAGGGTGATCTGGCAAGCTCCTGAGTTGCCTGCTGCTTGTGGCACAACATCTGACATGTTTGTCTCTTCCATTATTATATATGAGTGATTGCATACAACATGGACCATTACATTTTATTGTTATTGGTACATTGACTCCTATAACATTTATCTGAGTAAATCGTATCTTCCAGAAGGACCTTGATTTTAAGGTATCAAAGAGCTGTAGACCCTACCACTTCCCTTTACGTCTTGTTTGCTAATCACTCCCTCAGACAAGCAAGTGTGCTGTATTTCTCATGAGAATTTGTCTGGCTTTTGCTTCCAGCTAGAATTACTTGTTAAACCTTTCTCTGAGAGATTAAAGAGTCTTTCAAGATCTCTGCTTTTGTGCTATGATGACATGAGGACAGACGTACTCTTTGGTGGGTAAAAAACTGGCTGGATGGCTGTGCCCAAAGAGTTGTGGTGAATGGAGTTAAATCCAGTTGGCAGCCAGTCACAAATGGTGTTCCCCAGGGCTCAGTATTGGGGCCAGTTCTGTTTAATACCTTTATTAACGATCTGGACGGGGAGATCAAGTGCACCCTCAGTAAGTTTGCAGATGCCACCAACTTGGGTGGGAGTGTTGATCTGCTTGAGGGTAGAAAGGCTTTGCAGAGGGATCTGGACAGGTTGGACCAATGGGCTGAGGTCAGTTGTATGATGTTCAACAAGGCCAAGTGCCGGGTCCTGCACTTGGGTCACAACAACCCCATGCAATGCTATAGGCTTGAGGAAGAGTGGCTGGAAAGCTGCCTGGCAGAAAAGGACCCGGGGGTGCTGGTTGACAGACAGCTGAATATGAGCCGGCAGTGTGCCCAGGTGGCCAAGAAGGCCAACAGCATCCTGGCTTGTATCAGGAATAGTGTGGCCACCAAGACTAGGGAAGTGATCATCCCCCGTACTCAGCACTGGTGAGGCTGCACCTTGAATACTGTGTTCAGATTTGGGCCCCTCAGTACAAGAAAGACATTGAGGTGCTGGAGCGTGTTCAGAGAAGGGCAACAAGGCTGGTGAAGGGTCTAGAGCACAAGTCCTATGAGGAGTGGCTGAGGGAACTGGGGTTGTTTAGCCTGGAGAAAAGGAGGCTGAGGGGAGACCTTATCACTCTCTACAACTACCTGAAAGGAGGTTGTAGTGAGGTGGGTGTTGGTGTCCTCTCCCAAGTAACTAGTGATAGGACAAGAGGAAATGGCCTCAAGTTGTGCCAGGGGAGGTTTAGATTGGATACTAGGAAAAATATCTTTACCAAAAGGGTTGTCAAGTACTGAAACAGGCTGCCCAGGGAAGTGGTTGAATCCTCATCCCTGGAGGTACCTAAAAGCCATGTAGATGTGGTGCTTAGGGACATGGTTTAGTGGTGGACTTGGCAGTGCTAGGTTAACAGTTGGACTTGATGATCTCAAAGGTCTTTTCCAATCTAAACGATTCTATGATTCTAAAGTTGTGTAATCAAGCCACAACTCTGTCTTTTTAATAAAACTTGCAGGCTGAACTCCTGAATTCCTTCACAATCAGTCATTTTTTCACCTAAAATTGTTTTTGTGGCTCTTTTGATAGTTCCTTAGAGTTTCAGCCTTTTTCACCCTTGCTATATGCAGGGATGAAGATCATCCCTCTTTTATATCCTTATGTCTGTCTATCACCAAGGCCTGTTTATCCACATCTTCTCACTAGCAAATCACGTGGAGTTTGTTTTGTCAATTCTAACCCCAAATTGTTTCCAGAAGCAGCACTTGCTAGGATTACATCCCATGCAGCAGGCATGCCTTGTGTTTGTTACTCCTAAATGCCACAACCTTGTGTTCAGCCCTATCCCGACTGCCTTTTGAGTAGATCCCACCTACTGAGTGCTACACCATTGGCTCCTCCTCATTGTTTTTTACAACTCTGTCAGCCTTTGCATCATCCATCAATTTATTTGCCATGATTTGCATTCATGACCAGTTTGTTGGTGGAACTGTCAAAAAACACTGGCCCCTGTAGGAAACTGCACACCACCATAAGAAACGCTCCCAATCTGGGTTTGATAGGCTTATTTTCCAAGAAAAGGACAAAGCTTCAGCCAGATTTATTTATTCTATGTAGTCGTGTTATTCAGTGGGACACAGGTTTCTTTCTGCCCCACAAGGACTCTTATATATACCCTTCATTAGAACGATTTGGCCATTTTCAGTGCATTGGTTACCATGCAGGTGGGTCTTTCACTAGTACAGTAGGCCCAAGTCCACAGAAATATGGGCGCAAAATTTAGGCACCTAATTCTTATTTGTGTGGTCCACAAAACCTGTTTTAATCCTAGTAATGTTAGCACCTCAGATTTTTTTCAGTATAGCTCCCGAGCTGCGCAGAATTGTGCTAGTCTGTATCCAGAGGTGCCTCTGCACCAGCCAGGGCAAACACCACTGTGCCTGGTTCAGCTCCTAAATGTGTTTGGGATTGGGAAACCAGACCTCTGAGCCTCAGTCTGTGCTAGGGCCTGATCCTGCAGGGGTATTTGGGCCATGGCTGCTACAGGCTGACGTTTCTGAGCCATTTTCATTTAAAAATATGGAGAGTAGAGGGGGAAGCAGAGAAGATGGAGGGCAGTATTAGTGCTGCTGATGCCCAGGCAATACTTTAGAGAACATAATTTCTTTGAAGCTAGGTCTTTCATGGAAGTGCATCAGTTTTGATAGCTTCTTGCTTTAAAATGTCATTGATAAACATGTTTCTCTCAGATTCAAATGTTCCCCTTTTTAATGTGTCACAGTCAGACATTTTCATTTTACTCCTGGGAATTATTTGATATAATTAAAAAAACTAAAGCAGAGAAAAACATTTTCATTTTTCATTTGACAATTTGTTCTAAAAATGTGACTTCACCTTTCCCAGAATGAAAGCCAAGCTTGTTATACAAACACTTTACTGGGGAATAATCATTACCTTTACATGGGCCACCTGTTGGCAAGTGAATTACCACCCCAGGTTTGGGTAAGTTTAGAAATGAGTCATTACCATCAGTTTTAGGTCAACTTACAAAATAAAAGTCTCTGTATTCTGTATAAAAGTCTCTGTATCTCTGTATATGCAGGCTCAGTCGCTGGGTCTATAGTCTAAAAAGCTACAGACAGGCACCGGGACTATGGAGAGAGGAGAGATGGAGCAATGCCTCCCCTGCCCACCAGAAACCAGCTGGTAATTCAGTGGCCATCCAGGAACTGGCATGTTCTCCAGCACTTTGCACTGCACCAGCAGGATGGTTTCTAGTATTGGAAGTTGTACTTGAAGTTGCTGCTAAGTGTTGATGGCCACCGTTGCTGCAAACACTACCATACATGGTTTGTGATAGCGAATAATTAAAAATTCTTTGTGAACCTAAAATACGTTTTATCCCTGTGTGGTTTATTGGGAATCAAGATTTGTGATCAAATGTGTTTCACTTTTTCTGTGCAGCTCCATAGAGCTGGGTTTCATAAGTATATACTATCTAAGACAATTATAGAGCCCATGTAGTCCTACTTGATGCAGCTAAATACACACAACATTCATTGCCACATGACACAGACAACACCTTCACCAAGTTCGGATATCATGTACCTTGATGAGAAAAAAAATGCAGGCATGTCTGGTCTGAGAGCTCTCTCTTCCTGTTGTTACTGCCTTACAAAATGGGCTGCCAGCACAATCTAACCTATTCATGTCAAAAAGCAATCACTATCAAGAAAATTGTTTTCAAAATTACCTATTTCCAAAGTGTTCAGTCCTACTGGTGCACTTTTTTAGCGCACAGTAAACTGGCCGTGAAAACTTGCTACCATGTGTTGTAGGTGTACACAGGGCACGAGCTAATACTGTGGGTTTAGTGGGCTTAATAAAGCCAGTCTAATTTCAGTACATCCACCAAGTGTGATTAATGCTAGAAGAGGCCAAAATTTAAGCTACATTAAAATGCAGTGTCTTGTGAAATATAAATGCTTGATTTCCAGTGTCTGAAGAGGAAGGTACACCTGATTTGGATGACAAAGAGTCATAAAAGAGAGACAGAGAAAAATATTAATTCCTAATGAGAAAGGTTGTGCTTTGGAGACAACGAAGTTTTAAATGACTAATTATCAGGACTGGAACAAGACTGACTTCTTTTCTTCTCAGAAAAAGGTAAAGCCTGCTTGATTTTTCACCGCTGCCTGAGATGGATGCTAACTGCTGCCAGCCCAGCAGGAGCCAGGCTTGCGAGCTCTTTGGTTCAGTGTCTCTGCCAAGGACTCTCCCTCGCGCAGGTGAACTCTCAGATGTACACGTTTCATTGAAACCATTCAAATTTCACTTCCCC